GTGGTAAAAGCTTTTAGATACTTTGTGAGATATTCTATTTACATGTGGAAGTGGGTTTCTGCTAGACTATTGTCTACCTGTAAAAATCACACACAGGAAGGCATGGTATGCATAGAGCCAAAGGCCATGTTTATGTCAAGGCATCTGTGGCGGCCACTTCAAAGGGAGAGACAGGAAAGATGCCAGAAAGCACCTTGCTATGAAAAGGAGCCCGCGACACATTCCCCGAGCTGCATGAGCTGTCCGGTGTGAAGGGGCTTCGACTTTTGCATAACAGAGGTCTCCCAACACAGGGAGTTTAGAAGAGAGTGTCAGAGTCCCTGGAACTGGAGTTAAGGACCCTTGTTAGTTGCTATGTGGGTGCTGGGAACTGAACCTGGGTCTTAACTGCTGAGCCATCTCTCCAGCCCCCAAATTTGTAGGTGTTTTGTTTTCCTTTTGACATTCTTGGGATGGAGCCCAGGGCCTCACACATGCTAATCAGGGATTCTTGAGGTATGGTTCCCAAGACCACCCATATCACCTTTGTCTGCAGCTTTTGATAAAAATGCACTGTCGCCAGGCGTGGTGGTGCACGACTGTAGTCCCAGCACATGGGAAGCAGAGGCAGGCGGATCTCTGTGAGTTCAAGGCCAGCTTGGTCTACATAGTGAGTTCCAGGACAGCTGGGGCTTACAGGGAGACCCTGCTTCAAAAAGACCAAAAAAAAAAAAATGCAATGTCCCCAAGGATGCAGCACCAGACTCTTGAGGAAGATCCTGAGAAGCTACGTGTTGGTAAACCTTCTGGGCAATTCTTTCAGTCACTGAAGACTGAAAACCAGTGCTGCTTGGCGTCTGCTCTTTTTACGTAAGATGAGGGTGTTGGTAGACACCCATCACAGCCACATGCTGACCTTTCAGAACTGGTGTGCTGATGTTTCAAGACAGCTGTTGAGATTCTACTCAGCTGCCCCGAGGGGCGCAGACACATGCCTTTCTTTCTCTCAGGCCATCTGGAAGTAGGCAGCATAAACACCTGTTAAGTCATCTCTCATCAGGCCCAGTCCCTCACCTGGGCTCCCTGACCTGCTTTTTTCCCAAGCTCTGAAGCGTGTACTAACAGACGCTGCCAACCAATCACAGACACCATAATCTATGCTGTAACCAGCAGCCAATCAGAGGTTCTCACCAGTATATGCAGAATTCTGTCACTCTCACTGTGCTGATGAAATCCCAAAGCAACACCATATTTTTTCAGATGGGGATGCTGAAGCACACCCAGAATCAGCACACAGGACCCTAGATGCCAGTGACTTGTGGTGATGGCCCTCTGTTCTTTCTGGGGGCCCCAGGAAACTGGATAGGCCTTCTCCCCTCAGGAGCTCCTGGTACCTTAGATGAGGCTCAATCCTGCCCCCAACTTTCCTTGAAAGACTTGAGGGGTCAGTAGTGGTGGTGGTGTGTGCCCCTCAACTTCTGGAGCATAGGGGCATGGTAGAGGGGGTGTCACCACCCAACTCCAGCCCCGTTCTTACCTCAACAACCCCCACTCCAAAGAAAGAATTAGAGGAATTCTGGCCAGACTGTGCTGGCCTCTGCTTCTGAGCAGATTACTGGCAGGGACCAAAACAAGGGCTCCTTCGTGGAGGCCCTGGCTTAGGAAACCAGGTGACCACTGAGCACACATGTATGTGGGCAGTACCAGCCTCCAAGTATGGACAGGGGTATCCACCACAGGGTGTCCCACCAGCCCAGCGGCCAGACCTTTTGTGGGATTGCCTGACCTTCCCGGAGCCCTACTTGTGAGTAGGGGCTGCTCCACGTGGACGGGGCTGGGGCTTTTGAGGGTCTTCAGGGGTGGATGACTCCTCTTGTGTATGTGGGTAGGATGGGTACACACTAGCTGCACATGTGCGGGTATGTGCACCCTGTATGTCTGTGCAAAGCCCCTAAGGTAGAAATGAACTTGGTGTGTACCAGGCACAGAGACAAAGCCAATTGTGCTGGCATCAGAATGCGGTGAGGGGCAGTCATTGCTTCAGTCAATTTTGATGAGTGCCTGCTCTGAGAACACAGTTAAGAGCTGCAGTGGGAGAGGGAAGAGACAGTCAACAGCAAGTGTCCTGTATCGTCTGAGTTCAAGTAGGGATATGTGCCGTGTGGAAAGATCCAACAAGCTGGGAAGACACTGCTGGTGACAGCAAGGCACTATTTCCAGTAGAAGGGTTGGGGACATCTTTCCTAGGAGGTGACCTGAAGTGAAAGTGAGCCATGGGGTTACATTAGGAAGAGCATCCATCTCCCAGGCAGTTGCATCAGCAGGTGGAAAGGCCCCAGGATCACCATTCAGTAAACATCCCCTCCCATCAGGTTATGTGCTGGGGATGGGGCATGATAGTGAACAGGGCTGGCCCATTCCCTTAGCTACTTGTCACTCCAGTGAGGTTGAGGGGCTGAGGAACACGGCTGAGAATGCTAGCTGCCTGGCTCTGAAGCCCTGAGCCGTGTGGACGCTGCCGCCATCTGCCTTCTCATACGAAATCAAGAGCACATGGCGATTCACAGACTCTCCCATGTGTTCCCTGTAAGGCTGAGGGGCAGCCTCTATGCTCGCTTTCCAGTGTTCTTACCTTATCCCTCTCTGAGTCCCAGGAAAGAAAACTGAGGTCCAGGGCAGGGAAGGACCAAATTCACATGAGTCCCAGAACTTAGCCTTGGATTCCTACCCACCCCCATTCCACTGTCTGCCTCCCACCAGGACCCAAGCTCGCTTACTGCTGCCCAGTGCTGAGCCATGCCATCTACACAAACTGCGTGGCCAATGCTCACCTGGGCTCCTTAAGACTGCTCCTGTGCTGGCGCAACAGCATCTGCAAACTACTGTATGGAGAATTCTTCATCTTCAAGTTTCTGTACTAAGGCATTCGCTGTATCTATAGGTACAGAGCCAGTAGAGGGCCAGGGGAAGGGGTGGACAATCTGAGGGGGCGGGGCCTAGAGATCCTTGGGGTGGGGCCTCCCAGCCAGCGGGCAGAGTTGGGTGGGGTGGGGTCCAGTGTTCCAGTTAGCTATAAGGCTGAGCTGAACTGGAGAAGCCCTGGAGGCTGGGGTTGAGGCTGGGAGAAAAAAACAAGACCCAGGGATGGGTATGCAGCTCAGTGAAAGTCTTTGCCTGGTATGTGAGTCACCTTGGGTACGATCTCCAACAACACAAAACCAAACAAAACCTAAAACAAGTAGGGCATAGTGGCACATGCCTTAAATGCCAGCACTTGGGAGACAGAGGCAGGTGGATCACTGTGAGATTGAGGCCAGCCTGGACTACATAGCGAGTTCCAGGAAGGCTGATGCTACAGGGAGGCCCTGTCTCAAAAACAAACAAACAAACGAACAAGCAAAAAGCCAGACTGGGAAGACAGTTTAATTCAGGCCAACAGTGAGTCAGGTACTCTCTCCATTTCACCCAGGAGGGGACTTGGTACCCAGGCCTGAACTGGTCCTACTGAGCTGACCTTGTTTTACTTAAGCACATGATACATGTTAATATATTTATATAAATGGTGTTTATAAATAATAAAATGTAGGATAGGTATATTCACAGAATATCTGATAGCATTTTAAGTGAAGGCGCACAGGCCAGTGGCTCAGTGGGTAGAGCTACCTGAAACTAAGTCTGAAGACCTAAGGTTAATCTCCAGGACCTACATACAGTGGAAGGAGAGAATGGACTCCTGCAAGTTGTTCTTTGGGGCACACACACACACATACATACACACTAAATAAATGTAATCTTTAAAAAACACTAATAACTACAATGGATTGAAAAAAATATCAAACACCTGAAATTCTTGAGTTTATTTTAATAACAACGCATTGGTATTTGTTACTTAAAAATTAGAGTCTAGGGCCAGGTGTGGTAGTGCACGCCTTTAATCCCAGCACTCAGGAGGCAGAGGCAAGTGGATCTCTGTGAGTTCAAGGCCAGCCTGGTCTACATAGTGAGTTCCAGGACAGCTGGGGCTACAAGAAGACCCTGTCTCAAAAAGACCCCCCCAAAAAATTAGAGTCTAATTAATTAAAGGTGTTGCTATGTAGCCCTGGCTGTCCTACAACTCCTGTATAGACCAGGCTAGCCTCAAACTTTTGTCTTCCCTCCTGCCCTCTGCCAAGTGCTGGGATTACAGACATGAGCCACGATTCTCAGTTAGAATTTGTTTTTTAATGCAGTTTCATGTTTGCAGGAAAATTAAGCAGGTGATGCAGAGGTTTACTTGTGCCCCTGCTAACCTCTGCATCAGGCAAAGCACGGCTCCACACGGTACTGCTGCAGTCAGTGAATCCACCTTGCACGTCATTGTCACCTGAGACCATATGGGTTTGAACAGATCTGCAGTGAGATGTCGAGTCCCATGCAGAGTCACTTCACTGCCCCCAAACTCTGTGCTCCACCCAGCCATCCCTCTCCGCCTTACTTCGTTTTGTTGTTTCTGAGACGATGTCTAATGAATTCCAGGCCGGCCCTGAACTCACTTTGTAGCCAAGTATCGCCTTGAATTTCTGAATCTCCTGCCAACACCTCATGAGTGCTGGGATTATAGCATACAACACCATGCCTGGGTTTAATCTACATGTGGTGTAGGGATTGAACCTACAGCCTTATGTGTGTTAAATAAGCACTCTACCTACTGAGCTCCCAAATCCTCCACTTTATATTTTAAATATTTTATTATTTTTATTTTTGTGTATGAGTATATTGCCCGCATGTAAGTACATCCGTGTTGTGCAATGCCCGAGGAGGTCATAAGAGGGCGTCAGATAGCCTGGAATTGGAGTTACCGATGGTTATTAGCCACCATGTGGGTGCTGCGACTCAAACCTGGGTCCTCTGTAAGGATAACTGCTAAGCCATCTCTCCAGCCCCCACCTTATATTTTAAAAACACCAAGCACTCTTTGTTTTAACCTGCTGTCCCTTGACTCCTTTAAAAGGGTCAGTGGAGGGCTGGGTATATGGGTGTTTGCCTAACATGAGCAAGGCCTGGATTCAATCCCCAGCGTGGCAAAATAAACATATACACACTTACATACAAGCTTACATACATACAGACATACTAAAAGGATCAACAGTGGCCCAAAGTGACCCCACTCCCTTCAGCAGACCTTTCCTGTTCCCTCAGCCAGAACTCAGACAGAACAGGGCTCTGGGACAGGCCGGTGGAAGGGACAGCACCCAGGCAGCCCCAGTCCTCCATGGGCCTGGCCAGGGAGCAATCTCAGCCTCCTCCATGTCTGACCCACCCCTCCCAGGATGGCCCTCTTGGAGGATCAGCAGGTGATGTTTGAGAAGCTGGCTCTACACTGTGACTACATTCAACTCATCCCTAAAACCTTTGTGCTGGGTGAGCGCCCCCCTTGCGGCTGCCCGGGGTCCCGAGGCCACCTCCAGGCTCCATACGGCTCCCGGACGGATCCCAGAGGCTGGCGAGTGGGAGGAGGCAGGCCTTCTAGAAACGTTGAGTCTGGGCGGCTTGCATCAGAAAGATGGAGAAACTGAGGCTTCCCCCGGCGCTGGTCTCTGGCCACAGCCCGGTCCCTCGTCGTCCCTCGTCCCTCCTTACCAGGTTTCTACGTGACTCTGGTCGTGACCCGCTGATGGAACCAGTTCGAGAGCTTGCCGTGGCCGGACAGTCTCCTGACCCTGGTGTCGGGCTTCGTGGAGGGCAAGGACGAGCAAGGCCGGCTACTGCGCGCAGGCTCGCCCACTACGTCATCCTGGGCCAAGTGCTCATCCTGCGCATCTTCAGCACCTCGGTCTACAAGCGGTTTCCCAGCCTCCAACACCCGATGCGGCAGGTGGGCGGGGATCTGGAGTGGGCGGGGCGCGGTGGCGGGTTTGAACGGAGGCGGAGTCAGAGGGGAGGGGCGGGAGCTGAAGATGGGTGGAGCCAGAGCCTCACGGACGTGGGGACACAGTGGGGGTACCGGTCGGGTGGGACCAAGACGTGGGGTGGGAGCAGACTTGGGCGGGGCAGAGTCAGGTGCGCAGTCATTTTTTTGTGTGTTGAAACAAGGAGACTGATAAAAGTGCGCGGAGGTCCTAGAGGCCCAGCATCGGCTGGCAGGGTCACCGGCTGCAGGCCACCTCTCTGCAGGTTTTGTTACTGGCTGTTGCATCAGAAAGATGGAGAAACTGAGGCTTCCCCCGGCGCTGGTCTCTGGCCACAGCCCGGTCCCTCGTCGTCCCTCGTCCCTCCTTACCAGGTTTCTACGTGACTCTGGTCGTGACCCGCTGATGGAACCAGTTCGAGAGCTTGCCGTGGCCGGACAGTCTCCTGACCCTGGTGTCGGGCTTCGTGGAGGGCAAGGACGAGCAAGGCCGGCTACTGCGCGCAGGCTCGCCCACTACGTCATCCTGGGCCAAGTGCTCATCCTGCGCATCTTCAGCACCTCGGTCTACAAGCGGTTTCCCAGCCTCCAACACCCGATGCGGCAGGGGGGCGGGGATCTTGAGTGGGCGGGGCGCGGTGGCGGGTTTGAACGGAGGCGGAGTCAGAGGGGAGGGGCGGGAGCTGAAGATGGGTGGAGCCAGAGCCTCCCGGACTTGGGGACACAGTCGGGGTACGGGTGGGGTGGGACCAAGACGTGGGGTGGGAGCAGACTTGGGCGGGGCAGAGTCAGGTGCGCAGTCATTTTTTTGTGTGTTGAAACAAGGAGACTGATAAAAGTGCGCGGAGGTCCTAGAGGCCCAGCATCGGCTGGCAGGGTCACAGGCTGCAGGCCACCTCTCTGCAGGTTCTGTTACTGGCTGCCTTCTTCACCCTACCCTGCAGCTTTTATGACGCCCGGTGAACATAAGCAGTTGCAGAACTTGGGCCTACCACACAACCCATTCTGGGCGCCCTGGTGTGGTTTTCCAACCTGTTAATGAAGGCCTGGATTGGAGGTCGAATCCGGGACCCTATCCTGCTCCAGAGCATGATGAACCCACAAATGGGGTGCGGTGGGAAGGGTTGTGGCCCCCATAGAACAAGACTTCCTCTAAAGAGAAGGCCGGAGACCTTGCCTGCCTTCCCAGAGCCTGTAGTGGTGGCATAGGGTACTTTCTAACAGGATTTCACACCCTGACACGGCCACTCTCCAAACGTCCTTCCTATCCCTTGCTGAGTGCGCCTGTGAAGTCTTGGCTCTTTTTTGCTAGGCGAGGCTGAGGCTGTCCTCAGTGAACTGTCCATGACCACATAGCCCAGGCTGTGCCATGAATCTCATTGCTTTACACCTGGGCAAGAGCAGTGGGTGAGTCTGGGGGAGCAGGCTCCCAATCCTTCTCTCCTGCCCGCCAGGAGATGGGCGTCCTGCGTCGTCAGTGTGGACAGCTGTATGCCTACAACTGGATCAGTATCCCACCGGTGTACACACAGGTGAGGAAGAGACTGGTGGGGCTGTTCCTGGGGGAAAACTGAGGCTACAAAGACCCAGAAAACGCACTCACCTAGAGACTAAGTACAAAGCTCACCTTGGGAGTCAGGTCTGGACTTGGAAGGGTTTTTTTAGCATTAAATTCAAAGCATCTCGGTTCCTGCCTGGTCCAGCCCAGTAGAGGGAGTAAGATCACCCTTATCTTAAAGAGGAGCAAACAGCTGGGGATGTAGCTTAGTCTGTAGAGTGCCTGCACAATTCCACTCAGCACTATGTAAAACTGGGTGTGGTGGCACATGCCCATGTTCCCAGCACTGCGGATCTGGTGGCAGGAAGATGAGACGTTCCCGATCATCCTTGGCCACAGTCTGGGCGACTCAAGACCTGTCTCCAAAATAAACAGAAAAGAAAGAGGAGCAGAGACCCGTTCACATGAGTGTGAATGAAGGTCAAAGCGAGGCTTCAGACATCCAGCCCGAGAGCTTCCATGTCCAGGGTCCCTGCCACCTCTGCCTTTTCTCCTTGCAGGTGCTGACAGTGGCAGTGTACAGCTTCTTCCTTGCATGCCTGGTTGGGCTGCAGTTTCTAAACCCAGCCAAGAACTACGCAGGCCACGAGATGGACCTTGTAGTGCCTGTCTTTACAATCCGGCAGTTCTTTTTCTGCATGGGCTGGCTGAAGGTAAGTCTCTCTGGACACCACCCTCCCCTCTGCCATAGGCACAGCCAGAGGGGTCATGGCCAGCACCTACAACCCAAGAGGACAGGTAGAAGGAATGGAGAGTCATGTATATTGTGCATACATGAGCACACACACAGAGCTATTCTATGCATAGCATACACACAGAGCTAATCTATCTGTCTGTCCGTCCATCCCTCCATCCATCCATCCATTATCTATTTACCTATTTATTTATCTATCATATACACACATGAACTATTCTGCAATCACATCACACAGAGCTAATCTATCTTTATGTATGTATGTATATCATCTACACACATGAAGTATTCTACAATCACATCACACACAAAAAGCTATTCTCTTCATCATATACACAGAATTTTCTTCCATATATAGTATATATACACGCACAGAATTATTCTATGCATATCATATACAGAACTATTCCCCTATGCATATATGGATGGATGCCCCACATGTGGGAGCCCTATATTGTGGCTTTAAAGACAGTTGTCAGGCAGAAAGCCCATCACGGAGGTGGAAACAGCAGGATCCAAGGTTGGAGGGTTTGAAGCAGACTACCAAGGTTCTCAGAACCTCATCTGTCTCCTGTCCCCAAGGTGGCAGAGCAGCTCATCAACCCCTTTGGAGAGGATGATGATGATTATGAAACCAACTTTATCATTGACAGGAACCTGCAGGTATGGGTGGAGGGAGGGAGGCTGTATCATGGACCCCTCTCAAACTGGATCCAAAGAGGGGGACTCGGCAGTTTCAGGGAGACCTACCTCACAGTGACTTGTCCTCCCCTCCCCTCACCCTACCCCTTTTCTCAGCCAACAATTCACTCACTGGAGTCTCAACTTTTGAGGCTGTAAGCATCAGTCTTTCTGGTATCACAGGTAGGGAAACTGAGGACCAGAGAGAGCAGTCACTTTGCTTAGTCATCAGGCAAGTTCATGGTCCTGCCTGGGCTGCCCTTTCCACTGGCTATCCCTCTCTGTCTTTGGTGACCAGGTGTGCCTGTTGTGTGTGGATGATATGCATCAAGACCTACCTCCATTGGTGGGAGACATGTACTGGAATGAGGTGGAGCCTCAACCCCTCCTACACAGCTGCTTCCATCCAGCACTGGAGACCTTCTTTCTTGGGTTCCACCTTTATCAGGTGGGCAGTGCAAAGGAACTGGGAAGGAACCCCTTCAGTGCAAGGCTTGCCTAATATCTTGGAACAGCTCTTGTTAATGTACACCGGGTTCCCAGTAAGGGCTGGGCAGTAGACTTGTGCTCTTTACAGACATTAACTATTTTCTCCTCCCAATAACCTGTTTGTTATCTTCAGTTTCCAGACAATTAAGTACAGGTTCAGAGAGGATAACCAAGTTGCCCA